AATGCAAATCGCCAGCTATGCGCAGGCCGCGGAGGCTGCACAGCAGTGACTCCAGCACAGGGAGGGGCAGTACTATTGTAGGACTATTGTAGGCACAGTGACTCAGGTCCCGAGGGAGGGAGTGCTGGGAGCACCATCATACGCTGCTGGCCACTGTCTTTGTTTTAAAATTTATATTTTTTATGGATTTCAGAGAGGAAGGGAGAGGGAGGGAGAGAAACACCAATGATGAGAGGGAAGCATGGATTGGCTGCCTCCTGCAGGCCCCACACTGGGGATCAAGCCTGTAACCTGGGCATGTGCCCTGACCGGGACTCAAACCGTGACCTCCTGGTTCATAGGTTGACTCTCAACCACTGAGCCACACCAGCTGGGCCAGGTGGTTATTTAAAAAGTCCACGTGCACAGCAGGAACAGTGGTGCGGCGCTCGGACTGTGGACCGGGCAGACCCGATTGCTCTCCCAGCTCGGCCACTCGCCAGGGTGGCCTTGGACAAAGCCCTTGGGGGCTGTGCCGGGCTGGGGGCTGTGCCTGGAGGGAGCCCGCAGTGAGGGGCCTGATGGAACTTTTAGTGGTGAGTATATTATCCAGCCTGGCGATGGTTCCAACGCTGTGCATTTGTTAAAACTCATCCAGTTGTACTTACTGTATGTAAGTTATACCGTAATAAACCTGACATTTAAATAAAGAATGAAATCTTGCCATTTTCAACAACATGGATAGACCTAGAGGGTATTATGCTAAGTGAAATAAAGTCAGACAGAGAAAGATACCACATGATTTCATTTCTATGTGGAATCCAAAATCAAAATGAATGAACAAACCAAACAAACTCATAGTCACAGAGAGCAGATTTTTAGATCGCTTCCAGCCATTTAGGTGTTAATTCCAAGTGGTGTCAAATACTGTTCTACAGTGTGCTGCTTTATATAGCAGTGATTTCCAAGTGTTTTCGAACACTATCACTCTGTTTCCTGCCATTTAGAAGTGAATGCCAAGTGTTTTCACACACCGTTCTACACTGATTCCTGATCTGTTAAAAAATATATTTTCATTGATTTCAGAGAGGAAGGGAGAGGGAGGGAGAGAAACACCAATGATGAGAGGGAAGCATGGATTGGCTGCCTCCTGCAGGCCCCCCACTGGGGATCAAGCCTGTAACCTGGGCATGTGCCCTGACCGGGACTCAAACCGTGACCTCCTGGTTCATAGGTTGACTCTCAACCACTGAGCCACGCCGGCCGGGCCACATGCTGCTGCCTTAACCAGTTTCTCTCGGCAGCCCTTTCCCGGCCTGGTTTCCTGCTTCTGCCAATAGAGCTGTCACAGGTGAGCATCTAATCCAAAAGGAATCCAGCTGCTGTCACACACGTCCAGTCGGGGCTCTTCGCTCGGTGCCCGTGCGGCAGGGACAGGCAAGGTGACAGCCGCGGCCCAGGGCCTCTCCTCGGGCGTGGCAGGTGGCAGGTGGCATTGGCGGCACTGCCCCCTGGTGGCTAAAAGGTGTCCTTGTTACAGCTCTCCTGAAAGAAGAACATCTTTGAATTCCTGGCAGCACAGTCGGCCTCCGTCCCTCACTCCTTTCCCCACAGTTGGTCTCAGGTGTGGCCAGAGGCCTCGAGTCTCCTGTCCTGTGTGCTCCCCCTGGGCTAGGAGGGGCCCTGCGGGGAGCTGGCCTGCGGGCAGCAAGGAGGGGCCTGGGCAGCTTTAACCCAGGACACGGTGAGAGCTTGGGTTTGAACTCACGCTGACCGCTCTGCCATGGATCCATCTGGTCTGGCCCTGAAGTGGGGTCAGGAAGGGACGGCCGATGCCTGGCCTCGCAGGCCCAGCCTCGGAATGCCGCCTGCGGCTTGGTGTCGGGAGGGGCCACGCCGCCTCCTGGGGCCGCCCAGCAGATCCCAGAAAGTGCTGAGGCCACAAGCAACTGCTCTTGCCAGCACCCGACATCCCACCTGCCCGGGAGGTGGGGATGGCATGGGGACACCTCTAACCAGAAGCACTGGCCCTGCCTCTGCACCCACATCCCTCCAGTCCGGTCCGTCTGACTTCAGTCACCTGTGAGGGCCCCACCCCCTGGCTGAATGGGCCCGGACCATCCCACAGAGGGCGCTTCCCCGCGGGCCACATACCCACACCTTCCTCCAGCTCTGCATCATGCGACCGTGCTCCCCGGCCACAGCCCTCCAGGTGGCCAGCTCTCTGGTCCACTTCTCCTGGGGGGTCACCTCTGCAAGAGAGAAGGGGCCCCAGGACCCGGCTCTGCAGGCGCCGCTGCTGGACGGAGCCGCCTGAGCTGAGTGGCCCTGGGTAGGCCTTTCCCCCAGGGCCTCACCTTCTTGCCCTGGGGGCTTCCCAGGCTATCAGCCCCAAGGCACTGGCCCTGCCCTCCCCTGCACTGGCACTGTGCGCTGGCAGCAGCGGGAGACCCCCCCCCCCCACACACACACACCCCTTGGGACAATGAGAGACGTTGGGCCCTGGGCAGGGGTGAGGGGGTAGGCTCAGCAGCCAGCTCAGCTGAGCCGCCGTGGCCTCCCAGGCGGGGAAGGACATCACCTGCAGCCGCCGGGGCCTGGGCCTGGACTGTGAAGGCAGTGACAGGCTGTCGGGAGGCACCACCCTGAGCCAGCTTTCCTGGCAAACACGAACACGAGTGTGTCGCTGCTTTGGACAGCACAGGCCACCAGTTTCAGAAACGGGGCCCGAGAACCCGAGCCTTCGGCAGGAAGCGGAGCTCACGCCTGAGCAGACTGGAGGGCCGGTGGCGCCCCTACGGCAGCTGGCACTGGGGTCCTTGATTCTGAGCGGCCGGCCCGCCTGCCCTGCACAGCAGGCGGGACGCAGTGCACACAGGAGTCGTATCTCTAACCCATCCTCACGCATCTGCCCGCCGCCCACACCTGCAGGAAGGCGGGTGAGAGCGTGCTCGCTCCTCGTGTGGCTGTGCCTGCGAGTTCTCTCCCAACTCGTCAGCTGTCCGTGAGCCGCCACCCGAGTCAGGCCCTGCTGCCCAGCGCGTGTGTGTCCCCCACCTGCCTGCGGGGAGAAGGGCTCCTGCCTCTGACCCAGAGGAGGGGGCACAGGGCCCTCGGCCAGGCGCCTCCGGCTCTCACCACAGCGACTCTCTGGTGGCTCTGCTCACCTAACTGAGATGCGTGTGCCCGTCACGCTCAGCGGGTGTTCTAGCTCATCCTGAGCGCCGGCAGGGATTTCACAGAAATGAACAGAACAGAGGTTCCGGGGGAGTAAATATTCACAATTATTTTTCTGTTTCCCAAACCCTGAATAGAATGACAAAATTATCTATCTATCTATCATCTATCTATCTATCTATCTATCTATCTATCTATCTATCTATCTATCTATCTAAACACACGCCTATACTCTTGAAAACAGCGACTAGGGGAGGAAACAGCACGAACATGGGAGGGGAAGCTGTAGGGGAGGGGGCAGGGGCCGGGACAGCTCCCTGGCAAATGCAGAGCGGTCCTGGGCCGACCCTGGGGACCCCGAGGGGCAGCCTCACAGAATAGCTGGGAGCCGTGGCAGCAGATGCTCCAAGCCACTGACTCCCAAAGCTGCGTGCCTGGCCCTCCCCGAGCCGCCCGAGGAGCCTCCCTCCTGCCCCAGAGGAAACTGGCCTCAGAGGGCACAGCAGGGTCTCGCAGCACCGCCCAGGGCGGGTGCACAGAAAGCAGTCAGGTTCGCTGGTGTGTCCACCAACCGACAGCCGACCGACATTCCGTGGGGCTTGTGCTCCAAGGGAGGCGCAGCGGGGACCCTGCCCCAACTCCCCCGACAGCACACAGGCCAGGGGAGGGGTGCGGGCAGGCGTTTCTCTGACGCTGGCGCACAGGAACTGCCTGGGGAACTTCCTAACCCGGTACCCCTCCCGGGACCCCTGGTTCAGCATCCCTGGGTGGGCCTGGAGCTCTGCATTCCTAACGCACTTCTAGGAGCCCCCAAGGGGCGGGCGTGCAGGGAGCTGACCTCCTTGGGGGGAAGGGCCCCGCCAGGAGGCATCCTTGGGCCCCTCTCTCAAACTAAGCAGACAATCGAGGGCCACGAGGCTCTGAGGGAGAGAAGACAGAAAAACAAGCAGAGCAGGCAACGTGGAGGAGAAGGAAAGCGAGAACAAGCCTCCCCACATCTCAGGGTGGAGAGAGGACTGCCATGAAGCAGGAACGGGGCTTAACGAGCAGAGCGGATGTAAAGCTCTTCCTGTGACCGGTGACGGTGAGGCAGGAACAGGAGCAGGTGTGCCCGCTACGAAAGGCACCAGGACAGGGAAGCGAGAGGCGGCAGCGAGAGGTGAGGGGGGGCGGCCCAGTGGAAGAGAACAGAATATGAAGCGGAGGTTCCGGAAGACCGAGGGGCGGGCTTCTGCAGGTGGCGGGCGCCAGGCGTGGGACCCGGAGGGCAGAGGTGAGGCCGCAGGCACGGCGCCTGGAGCGAGGCCAGTGGGGCGCGTCCTCACACCCACGGGTGACTTATGACAGAACTGCTTGTCTGGCCAAACTCACATCTAAGTGTGGCGACGGGACAGACGCGGGCTCCGCAAACACTGCTCCTGGTGACTGGAGGACAAACCCCGAAAACCGCAGTGTGCCGGGCCTGGACACAGGCCCCGGTCAGAGAGGGAGCCCAGCTGCAGGTGCTGGCCCAGGGCGGCCCTGGCCCCTGGTGCAGAGGTTTGGGGAGGCCGAGGACGCGACCCCGTATGACTGCAGGTCAGGGACTTAAGACAACGGCAGAGTCGGGTGTGGAGGTGATAACTCGGACCCAAGCAGATGGAGCTCAGCACCGACCGCACAGGAGGCAGACCAGCCTCCGGGAACGCCCGCACCGGAGGTGGGAGGCCGGCGCTGTGCGGGACGGGGTGGGGAAGCAGCTGTAAAAATGGACTTTCATCTTTCCCGTGAAAGCCAGACGAAGGCAGCGCCCAAGCGCCCGGACTGGAGACACGGCCGGTGGGGACCACGCCCAGGAGAGAGCAGGGCGGCTTACCGGTAGGAGTGGACGGAGCAGCGGTACTCCGTGCTCTCGCGGATGGCGTCCCGCAGCCAGCTGAGCACGTGGGCCCTGCCGTCCGGCAGCGCGTGGGTCTGCACGGGGACACACGTCTCCACTTCGCGTCCATTCTTCTCCCAGACAAAGTGAGCATCCGCAGGACCTGGGGGCACACAGG